GCCCGGCCAGCATCCCGGCCCGCGGCGTTTCCAGGTTGAGGTAAGCACCGACTTGTCGGCATTCAAATAGATGAAAAAACCCGCTGCGCCCGCGTTGGGGCAGTCATTGGGAGAAGTCCGTAGTACAGGGCCCAGTCGCCGACACCCACACGACCCAATACATTACAACATCAAGCCCCAATATCGGCAAGCAGCTTGCCGCAGTAGGCGCAGAGATGAACTCGCCGCCCAACTCAGTACCGAAGGCGTTGAGCAGGCCGGAGGTCATGCCATCGCACTCGGCGTGGCGTAGCGCGCCCAAGTGCGGCAAGTGCTGCGTCAGGTCATCCGGCGCAGACATGAACGGCGAGTGACCGGTCCTGCCTGGTGTATGCCCTCCGCCGCACGGGCACGCCGTGTACATCTCCGGGCGAATCCGGTGGCACGGCATTGTCTTGCGTACACTCGGATATACACGCGAGGGACACGAACTTTCTCTCCTTAGCCGAAGTCTCTGTCGCTTATCCGCATCGGGCTGAGCAGCGCGTGCCTGTGGGCTGTGGCACCAGCATGGCTTCGCCAGTCGACGTCTTCTGCGAGGCAGTCGTTGTAGAAGAAACGATGACTGCGCGTGCTCATTTGTAACCACGTGCGCTGCGGTCTCGGAAGGTCCCAGCTCGACCGTGTTTCCAGCGCCCTTTGCGCATGCCGGCTCGTCTGAAACTGCCGACAGGAAGTCCCACGTCCGTACAGAGCGCGGTCAGATACACTAGAGACAGCCACCTTGTCAGGACGCAACTCCGCCGCGGCTGATGGATATGCCGGCCAAGGCTGGGCCACCCAGCAGCCAAAACCGACCGGGTGTCCAGTGAGTCCAGCACTCTGCAGACGTGCTCGGCGTATGTCTCCAGCGTCACGCCCGCCAGCGGCGTGTCGTCGTGGCCGTTCCGGGAGGTCAACCGCCCAACGGTGTGTCCTCCGTTCGCCTCCAGCAGCGGGACTACGCGCTGCCAGCACCAGGCCCCGTTGTCCGATCCATGAACCAGACGTAGTGGCATTTTGCGTCTCCTCCTTTGCTACTCCTCACATAGGCGATTTTTTTCAACGCACGAGAACGCGGAGAATACGCGAGGAGAGCAGAGGTTACTCCAGCAGGTTTCTGCGCAGGAGGCCAACGTCTCCGAGGTACACTCCGTGCTACAGAAGAACATGCCTCGTCGGCGGCCGCGTATGTCCTCTCGCATGGGTTTCCGGTAGGCTGGAACGCACTGGCTGGGCGCAGCGTATCTGGCGGTGGGCGACGAACCTTGTTCAATGGCCTTAATCGGTCGACTATAGCCTCGACCACCTCGATGTCAGCATGTAGTCGGCACTGATGGTTTCCTGGTCCACCCAGGACTCGAGGATCAGGGCGCCAGCAGTCCCGTGCGGTCCTTGCGGCGCTGCAGTGAAGACAGCCCCGCCGCCAGCTCAATCGATCGCTGATGGAGGTGATGGCATCAGCCACGCCCTCTCCGGAATTGCGGACCAGCCACTGGTAGGTGTCCGGAGCCGCCCCGCAATGTCACCGCACAGTGAACGGAGGTATTCCTCCCCTTCCGTCGAGGAGAGGAAATTGCCGGTAACGCAACCGACTCGCTCAGCGGGCCCCGGCCGTCGCGCTCGGCCTCGTTGGTGTTGCGGAGATCGACCACAAGTCGAATGTTCAGGTCATCCACGGCCAGGCGGTGGTCTGCGGAGTCATATCCTGCAAAGCGTACACTGCGGAAGAGTCGACGCCATCGTAAGGTTTGCCCCTGTGAGTTGCGGTAGCCGCCACGTCGCGGAAGTTGACGCCACCTTGGAGTGGCAGCCAGCGGGATGCTGCTGGTCGCTCACGCTCCCGGCACCCCCATCTCGCGGGCGATTCCAGCATCGCGCGGGCGTTCACTCGTGCGCGATATCCACCATTGTCACCGCCAAAGTCACCCGCCGCGCCGCCATGAGCGCGCGTCGTCTCCATCGCGTCGATCAGCACCTGTGTAGTGAGCGACTCCTCCGCGATGGTGTGAATACCTCAGTCACCACCGGCACGTGAGACGGTGGATCAGGTGCATCCCGGTGTAGCCAAGCTGCTTCGCTGCTGTGCTGATTTGCGCAGGCCCTCAAGGTCGTGAATGTCCATCCAGCCACCGCTCATGGGGTAGGGAATGCCCGCGGCGGAACATCCACCAGAACCTTGGAGCGCGGGAACAGGGTCTCCATTCTTCCGGACGTCCACTGGAATCGATCGATCGAGCGGTGTCACCGCCTTGCCGCCGCTGGCACCCATGTGAGCCACGCGGGGCGAGGCGTTGGCTATCTCAGCCCACGACTGACGGATCCCGATGCGGTCTCCAGGGAGGGGTCGATGAAGATCTTCCCAACCTCCAGGCCCTTTTCCCGCTCGAAATGGGCGCAGTAGGACATCAACTCAACAACGTCCTCCGGACCCTCGACCTGGGTAAGAGCACGCTGTAGGGTGAGGGCGACCACGGCCTCGAGGGTCGCGCCGGTCAGTCCGGTTTCGAGGCGGTTCACTCGCACCACGATGGTCTGCCCGGCTCGCCCAGTTCATGCACCATCCGGCCCACGGATCGCGCGCCGCACGCTTCTCCGGCGCGGCACCGAGTCCTCAAGGTCGAGAATATAGGCGTCGGCATTGAAGCGCGGCGCCCTGCGCATCCAGTCTTCCTTGTTCCCCGGAACGAATAGTCGGTCCGGATTGGGCTTGGCTCGGGAATCTGCCGTTGGTACTCGTCAAAGAAATCCCACCTGAATCACTGAAGTCTCAATTCGCATACTAGCTTGGCTATGATTCCGCAAATGTTCGCCGCCGTGCGACCAGAGTGGCTTCTCTACGGACTGATCTCGACCTATTCTAGCCACTCACCGTCGTTCTGCGGCACTCGCTGTCACTTCAGCAAAAGCAGGAAGCTAACGCCTACACGACACCCTGCTCCCGCAGGTCTGTCAGTTCAGCCTCGCTCAACCCCAGGATACCGGTCAGGACTTTCCTCGTTGTGCATCCCCAGCGTAGGCGCCCCCGGCAGTGGGGGCAATTCGCCGCCGGAGAAGCGTACCGGGAAGCCCGCGCCCACCGCCCCTGCCACCGGCTCGTTCATGGCCCCGTGGTTCATCGGGACAAGGCTGCCGCGATCCCAGAAGTGGCGGTCGTTCATCACCTGCTCCGCCGTTCGCACTGGCGCACAGGGCACGTCGTGGCTCTCCAGGCATTGCTCCGCTTCCGGCAAGGTCATCTTCCCAATGCGATCCTGGATTTCCAGCCGTGCTTCCTCCACGTTGTCTGTTCGGTTCACATACGTGTCGAACCGTGGGTCGTCCAGCAACTCCGGGCATTCCAGCGCTTCGCACATCCGCCGCCATTGGTCGTCGCTGGTGACGGTGATGGAGATGTCACCACCAATCGCGCTGTACAACCCGGTGGGACCGCTGCGGCTGATGTTGCCAGTGCGCAGCGGAAGGCCGACTTCTATGCTCTCCTCGAGGTTCTCCATGAACATCAGCGAGACCAGGGTGTCCATCATCGAAACGTCGAGATACTGGCCTTTTCCGGTGCGGTCCTTCTCTCGCAGGGCGGCGAGTATCGAGTAGCACGCAAACATCGGTGTGACCAGGTCGCCGATGTAGAACCCCACCTTGACCGGCGGGCCGTCGGCCTCGCCGTTTATATCCATCAGCCCACTCATGCCCTGGATCTGGGGATCGTGGGCTGGCTTGTCCTTATACGGACCGGTCTGGCCATAACCAGAGATGGAGGCATAAACGATACCCGGGTTGACTGCGGCCACTTCCTCGTAACCAAGACCGGCGCGCCGGAGTGAACCGGGGGCCAGGTTCTCCAAAACCACGTCGCTCTGCTTGGCCAGCTCGAGGAAGAGCTCCCTGCCACGTTCGGTCTTCAGGTCCAGCGTAACGCTCTTGACACCCTGCGTTCGCTTGAGGAATCGCGTGGAGATGTCCTCGTCGGAGTTGCGGCGGGGGTGAGTTCCCTCTGGTCCGGCGAAGGGGCCGTTCCCCCGTACCGGATCGCCACGGCCCGGGATCTCTCCACCTTGATGACCTCCGCCCCAAGCCGGGCCAGGCTCATCGAGGCGAACGGCCCCGCCCAGGTAGACCGTCACGCTGAGTACTCGAATCCCGACAGTGGCTGCATTGGATCCTCCAATCCCGTGTCCTGCCTACTCGATCTCTGCCGGCTCGTACTCCGCGATCTCGTCCACCGCCCCGGTGGAGTATCGCTCGATCACGCGCCGGAATTCGGCAAGCTGCCGTGCAGCCAGTCAATCATGTCCGGCCAGTTGTCGCGGTCGTTGGTGTCGATCGCGAGGGACTCGGAGCAGTCCCCGAGGTTGAGCTGCAGGCCCTCTTTGTACATCGCCACGGCCCGTGCCGCATCCGGATCATAGCTGCGGCTGTGTTCCACCAGGTAAATTCCCACGCTTCTGTCGCCCAGGTACTGGGACACCATCACCCCACCAAGCGTGTGGTAGATATTGCTGTGAGCGTGCTCTTCCGGAAATTGGACGTCCCTGGGATGCTGTTCCGCGTAGGAGCGCCAGAAATCGCTGCGCTTGCGGCGGATGCGGTTAAGCCGGTTATTGATGCTGCCGCTGCCCACGGGCACCCGGTTCAGTGCCAGCACGGTTCGGTCCCAGTCATGAGGTTTTTCAATCACCTCGAAAACCGGCGCAATCGGGGCAGGGAAATCGCCGATGCGCACTGCCCGGACTCTGACAGCAAAAAAGGCGAATCGCCCGGAGTGTTGATGTTCAGCCAGCGGATTGCCGCAAGGTGCGCCGCTGACTCCCGGGCAACCCAGATGGCGGACTGCGCCTCCAAGCGTGCCAGGTGCACTATTATCTGCCCAGGTGGGCATGGTCCGTGTTGTCCAATTGGTCTCGATTACCACCCGGCTACCGTCACGGGAACGTGGCCAGAATGTCGGCACTGAAGCCTTCCACTGCAACCTGGCTGTCGTCGGGTTCGATGGCTATGCCGATCACTCTCGACAGCCGACTGCAGGTTGTCCTCGAGCCACGGAGGTAAGTACGCTGCCCTCGTTGGGCCAGGCTTCCCGTATATTCGATGTCTCTTAGTTCACTGAAATCCATATCGCTCTCCAGCAAGCAATGGGCTACGGATATTCTAACACTCAGTTACCCGCCTTGTGGTACAATCCGTTGGCCCGGGGGCCCCTCTTTTCGGCTCCTTCAGAGCTTTATTAACGAGCTTCCAAACTCCGCGTGAGGTGGATTCACATGGCATCCAATATCGTCTTGTCAAACAACCGATTACAAGGTGGTCGGGACTCGACCGGTACGCATGACGCACCGACAAGGTCACTGGCGGCCAAGTACGGGGCGACTACGACGATGCGGGCGGCCCTCTTCGCCAAGGTGCTGCGAAGCCCCCACGCCCACGCCCGCATCAAGTCGATCGACACCAGCAAGGCCGAGGCGCTCCAGGGTCCGCGCCGTTACACTGGTCAGGACTCCCACTGACAGCGCGCCGCCGCAAGGTCATGGCCAAGGACAAGGTCCTCTACAAGGCCATCCCGTTGCTGCCGTGGCCGCCGGTCAGCGCCCACAGGCCGAGCTGGCTCTGGCTCTCATCGAGGTGGAGTACGAGTGCTGAAGGCAGCGACCGAGGTGCGTCAGGCCATGGCCGACGACGCCGAGCTGCTCCACGCAGACCAGACACCACGGAAATGGCGCGAAGCAACGACAAGCACAGCAACATCGCTATCATTTCCGGTACGAGCAGGGCGACTTGGACCAGGGTTTCGCCGCTGCTGACGTCACGTGGAGAAAGAGTACCCACCGCCACGTTCACAGGGCTACATTGAACCCAGAACGGCGCGGCTTCTGGAACACACAACGGTGCAGTTGACCATCTGGGTCAGCACGCAGGGCGCGTTCACCACCCGCGACGCTTTGCGGAGTGCTCGACCTGCCCGTTTCCAAGGTCAGGGTCGTACCCATGGAAATCGGTGGCGGTTTTGGCGGGAAGATTCCGATTTACCTGGAGCCCCTCACCGCGTGCTGTCGAAAGGCAGGCGTACCGGTAAAGGGTGCAATGAGCCGCGCCGAGGTCTTGAGGCCACCGGCCCACTTCGGCTCCTACATGCACGTCAAAATGGGAGCCACCAACACGACGGCAAGATAGTGGCGCCCGAGGCTATGTCGCCTTCGACGCCGGTGCCTTCCCAGGATCGCCCGACGTAACCGCTGGCGCCCAGTGCATGTTCGCCTGCTAACCACAAAAAAAAAACAAAAAAAAAAAAACAAAAAAAAAAAAAAAAAAAAAAAAAAAACAAACCAAAAAAAAAAAAAAAAAAAAACCAAAAAAAAAAAAAAAAAAAAAAAAAACCCCCAAAAACCAAAAACAAAAAAAAACGAACATCGAAACTGCCGGTCGACGGCTAAGACAGTGGTCGCCAACAAAGCAGCCAGTCGCCGCCTATCGCGCCCGGCGCCCCCATCGCCCGCCTCGCTGGCGAGACGTGGTTGACGAACTGGACGAGAAGATTGGCATCGACCATAAAAATTCCGCCTCCGAACCATCCAAGGAAAGGCACCCGCCCGCTCGATGACCCGGCTATCCCAAGATCGCAAAGTCGAGCACCTGGAAGCAGCCCGCGAGACGAGACTACAAGAGCCAGTGGAATGCCCCAACCCCGAGGACGCGGCCGTTGCCTCCGGATTCTGGTTCAAACACGGCCCAGTCCAGCGCGACATCAGGTCCAGGCCGACGGCACCATATCGCTGTGGAAGGCTCCACCGACATCGGCGGCACCCGCGCTCCATCGCAATAACGCAGCCAACCGAAGTCCTGGGCATACCGCGAAGACGTTGACCACAAGTGGGCGACCCGACTACGTGGGATACACCTTCCTCACCGGCGGCAGCCGAACCCCACCTTCGCCACCGGTCGGCTGGGCCGCATACGGTGCGCCCAGGAAATCAAGCAGAGGATGATTCGAACGAGCGCCGGGTATCTGGGACGTTGAGTCCCGCGGATGGCGAACTCGTCGACGGTGAGTTCCGCACGCCATGACCAGGAACTCAAGTGAGCTTCAAGGAGTTAGCCGGGCAAGCTGAACCGAAACGGCGGACCCATCGCCGCAAGTGTCCAGCGTTCGTTGACCCCAGCGGTGCGGGCGGGCGCCCCCTTCCCACCATATAGTGGACGTCGAGGTTGCCCCGACACCGGCAAGGTCACCATCCTCGACTACACCGCGGTCCAGTCAGGACGTAGGCAAGGAAATCCATCCCAGCTACGTCGAGGGAACAGATCCAGGGCCCCGGCGTCGTCCAGGGTATCGGCTGGGCACTCAACGAGGAGTAAGTATCCGAATCAGCTCCGACGGTCGGATGGAGAACTCTTCTTCTCGACTACCGAATGCCCACAGCTCGACCTGCCGATGTGACGGCACCGTAATCGTCGGTCGCCAACCCCCAGGCCATCCTACGGCGTCCGTGGCGTGCGGCGAGGGGTGCCGATCGTGCCTCCCATTGGCAGCGGTTCGCCACGCCATCTCCCATGCCGTCGGGGTTGCGTATTTGAACAAGCTCCCCATGTCTCCCGACGCAATCCTGGAGGGCCTTGGGACAAGAACGGCGAACCGGCGGACCTGACCCAGGACGCCGACTAACACTTTCCTCAGACAAGTCCGCAACGTCTTCGGGAGGCGCACAGAGGTGAGCCCAACGTTATTATTGCGCAGGCTGCTATGGCCCGGATTCCGAAATTCCCGTGAAGGGCCCTTTTAACCTGCCTTATTGGGCATATTACATTGTTAGGCGTATGAGCATGACCGAGTACACCCTTACGCCACCCGCGAGAACCATGGACGCCGCAGGGCAGGCCATCTGGGACGAAATCGAGACCTCGCGTGGCGGCGTGGCCCGCAACTACGCCGCGATCCTGAACAACCCCCAGGCCGCCGGCGCTATGGCAGGCGCTGGGAGGCTATGACGTTCGAAACGCCGCTGTCCTCCACGCATCAAGGCACTTTGTGTCCTTACCGCCGCCCGTGAGGCTTGCCCGGCAAACGTCTGGACGGTAACCAGGCCGCCGCGAAGCAGGCGGGGTTTCCGACGAGGACCATCGCTCAATCCTCGAGTACGCGCCCTGCAGTTTCGACCCAACGACGCAACGGTAGTGCAGTTTGTTGTATTATCTTCCACACCCATTCCCTCGCCTGCTTGCCCCACGCTTCTTCTCTTAACTCCGATCTCGCCCACCTCTCGTTGATTGCTTTGTCCTCGTACACCGAATAGTGACCCCCCCTTTCTCTGCATCCCTTTGGCTCTCATCCGCCCCCTCCCCCTGACGCAATGTTGTGTACCTCCATATGCACATTATCCTCGGCCGCCCGGTCTCTGTGTTCCCACTCTCTCGCTTCCCGTCCTGGCCTTCTCTTAACTTACGCGGTCTCCCCTTGTCCCCCCCTTCGCTCTTCTCTACGTGCCCGTACCTTTTATGTCGTCGATACCGATCCTCTGGGATGTCCCAACGCTCCCAAGCCCCTTGCCGTCCCTCCCCGCGGTGCTCATCCATGGCCCTGTCCACCCCGTACCGCTCATGCCCCCATCCGTAAACTTTATTCTTCTTTCTTGGCCGCTACGGTTGCTCACTAGAGACTTGGGCTTTGCTTGAATTCCGTATCGCAGCACTCCGGGTTCAAAGCGCGTTGATTCCGTGTTGTGCGCCGCTCAGCCCTGCGCCGCGACGGCTTCCTAGGGCCTTGATCCTCGACGTACCCATGTGGCTCCTGCTTCCCCGGGCGGCTATATCTACAGCCGTCAGTTTTGTTTTTTTTTATTTTCGTGCTGAAATGTTGCGCCAAGCACCGCATTTCCCACGCCACTTTGAGGGCCATGAGGAACCTCGTAGAGTTCAACACGACGGTGTGGAGGTAGACGTCTCGGCGTTAGCGGCTACTACCCACACCTTGGCCCACTGCCTGCAGGCCTCGAGGTGGACCTGCGTGGGCACCTCCTCTGCCTCACATATTAAGAGTATCTCAAAACGTTGCGAGAGACACCTTACCGTCATTTGTCGCGAATGCCGGAATCCAGCGCCTCGACTCAACATTCGGTGGGGGGAAAATCAGTACGTTTTGTTGTCAATTGACCAGTCTCCATTGGAACTGATCTACTGCATTTGGGCCTCTGTGTTAATACTCCCGGATTCGCTCGGGTCCACCAAGGCGTTACCTTGGTGGACCCGAGATTTTTTTACTCATCTGTCTGGCTGAATAACTTCTCCTGGGGTATGCAGGAGTCCGCTCAAGCAACAGCTCACTGCCTCCGTCAGCCGGATTTGGAACTGCAACTTCACATAATTTCCATAATTTTTTCACGTTTTTTCGGTGAGTTTTCACACTTTTGCCATGCTTAAGGTGTAAAGTTTGTGCCGTAATCCAAGCGTCTTTGCCTACTTTATTCAAATTTAATTTTCTTTAATTCTCCCTGGGCCTGGGCCGACGGATAGGGGGAGGAGCCGGGTTCCTGTTTAAGGCGAAGGCGCTTTTGGGTGGTTGAGATTCGTTGGTCCAGCTCCTTAGACCTCGCAGACTTGTTAGAGGGAAAACCGAATGAAAGGGAGACTACTATTAAGTATTGGTTAACCTGCTTTTGAATCCCTATCTCAGGTGTAATCAATGGGGGCCTGACGTCCTGGAGACGCTGGCCCTCTTTTTTGGGGCGTTTTGGCAACGGAACAAAGAAACGATCAGATCCGCTATGAACCCGAGGAACCCACGCCGATCCTCGTCTCCATCGTAGCCAGCTTCCAGGGGGTCCTGCTCGTCCTCACCCCCATGGTTACGGCGATCACAACCACCGCCTTGGTCTCGGGTCAATCAGACAGCTACCTCACTGGGCCCGCCTTCGCCGCCTTCCTGATCTGCGGCGTAACCACCGCAATGCAGGCGGGGCGACTCTGGCGAATTGGCACCGGACACGTTCTCCTAACGGCCGCCAGTGTCTCCCTGATCATCGTGGGAGTTCCGGCTCTGAAGGCCGGCAGTCCGGGGCTGCTTTCCGCCCTTGTCATCTGCGGAGCTTTGGCCCAGTTCGCTCTCGCCACGTGGCTGCCTCTGCTGCGTCGCATAATCACGCCTGTGGTAACCGGGACGGCGCTGTTGCTCCTGGCCGCCACCGTCATACCCATCGCAGCCGGAAGGATAACCGCCCTGCCCGATGGGGCCTCAACGGTGTCGGGTGCCGTCGTCGCTGTTGCGACCCTTGGCGTGCTGGCTGTTCTCGGGCTGCGGCTGACGGGAGGCTGGAGACTCTGGGTACCGCTCTTTGCCATAAGCGCAGGCGCTTTGTCCGCCGTGCCCTTCGGCCTCTATGACTTCCAGAGGGTGATCGATGCGCCCTGGGTCGGAATCCCGGGCACCTGGTTCCCCGATTTCCAGACCCCGGAAGTGGACGCATTCTTCGCATTGCTGCCCATGGTGGTCATCGTCGTCCTGATAAATGGCGTCAAGAACATGGGCGACAGCGTCGTTGTGCAGCGGATCTCGCGCCGCGAGCCCCGCGCCACCGACTATCGGCTGGTGCAGGGATCCCTCTACGCCAACGGCACCGGGGTCCTGCTCAGCGGAATAGCGGGTTCACCTCCTACCACCATCAACTCTGCCACCAGCGGCGCCCTTGTCAGCCTGACCGGGGTCGCCAGCAGGAACGTCGGCTACATGGCTGGAGCGATGCTCGTCACCCTCGCCTTCTCACCCAAGCTGACCGCGACCTTGCTCATCATCCCCGCCCCTGTCATGGGCGCTTACCTTCTGGTAGTAATGGGCACCTACGTGGTCGAAGGCATACGAACTGTTGGCCAGGACGGCCTGGATCACAAGAAAGCCCTGACGGTCGGATTGGCCTTTTCAGTGGGCGTTGCCATGGAAAACTCGGACATCATTTCCACCCTGCCGGGCGCTACTTGGTTGCTGTTCCTCAACAACGGACTCACCGCGGGGACAGTGGCGGCGGTGCTGATGACCTGGTTCGTGGAAGTTACCAGCCCGCGGGCCCGCCGAATGGAGGCCTCGCTCAGCGCCACTGCCCTGGCTGAGATCGACGAATTCCTGGAGAGGATTGCCAGCAGGAACGGATGGGATGAGTCCTCTATCCAACGCCTCAGGGCCGTGGGAGAGGAGACACTGTGGAGCCTGATGCCAGCCGACGAAGACTGCGATTCCAAAAAGCCTCGCCGCCTGACGGTCGTTGCGCGCCCCGACGGAAACTCGGTGGAATTGGAGTTCTTCGCCAAGCTCGAGGGCAGCAATCTCCAGGACCACATGGCTTACCTGGACGAAGAGGAACCCAACGGAGGAGACGCCTCGTTCCGCCTGCTTCGTCACTATGCCGAGTCGGTACGGCACCAGAAGTACAACGGAATCGACGTGGTCAAAGTCAGGGTTTCCGAGGATTGCGGGAGACGCATCCGCCTCGGATAGGACGCAGCCCTTAGTCGCTTCCCTCCACTGAGACACGCGGTGAATCCCTTCCGCGCTCGGCCTGCGATGAAACCGAACCAAATTCGGGATAGAATTGGTGCCGAAGGAAGATGTCCTGCCAATTCATTATCCTGGCTGTCTGCACCACGCTCTTCGCCTTGCGAGTGTTCGGGCAATTGCTGGTCGTGTGGCGTGCTCCCGGTTGGCTCCCGGCCAACGAGCACTGGTATTCCGGCTTGATGCCCTACCGTTACCTGCTGCCGTCCCAGCTGGCTCTACTCGCCGTGATGGTCGTGATAACAGCCGACGTGTACCGCGAACGAGGGCTTTTCGCCGCCCAGTGGTGGGGCGACGCTGCTCTATACCTGGCGGTGCTCTCTTGGATCTACTTCGGATCAATGGTCTTGCGGTACATCCTGACCATGTGGCTGCGGCCGGAGTTCAGATGGTTCCGCAGAACGATCCCCATCTGGTTGCACATGGTCCTGGCCGTCTCTCTATGGGCGTTCGCCGACTATCACTGGGACTGAGTTCCTGAAATCAGCCTCGCTATCCGCTGGGCGTCGATTCGTATGTTGTAAAGCCCGCCACGGCCATCATAGTTCTGGCCGACGAAGTACAGGTCGGGATGATGAGCACTCCGCACCCGGCCTCTCCGGTCCGCAAAGCCACACTCGTCCCGCTCGCCGAAGTCCCCCATCCAGCCCAGCGCCGCTCGAAACCCTGTCGCCAGGATCACCAAGTCCCCGTACCATTCGCTCTCATCCGTAAATCGAACGCAGCTCCCGTTGAACTCGGCGACACCAGGAGCCACGCGCACCCGTCCCGCCTCGATGTGCTCCAGAATCGAACGGCCGATCACGGGCTGGTCGCCGCAGCGGCCCACCGTCATCTTGCGCGGCAGCCCCGGCGGCCCGCGTCGCAGCAGCCTGCCGACTGCGCCGGTCCCCCAGACGATGCGCCGCTGCACTCCCGCTGGAAGCCATCCCATCGCCCACCCGACATACTGAGACGGCACACCCGCAATGCTCCGCGGGATCACGTTGGCCCCAGAACGCACCGAGAGGGTTACGTCTCTCCCCGCCCTCGCCAGCTCCGACGCGATCTCGGCAGCCGAGTTGCCAATTCCCACCACCAGCACGGAGCCCCCGGAGCATTCATCGGGCCTCCTGTACTCGGTACTGTGGATAATCTGCCCGGAGTAGGATTCCATGCCCTCAAATTCGGGAATAACCGGATCGGACATGATGCCGGTCGCAACCACAACGGCCTTTGACCGGAACACGGCATCCCTCGTTTCGATCTCCCATCCGCTGTCCTTTCGCCTGAGCCCGAACACTTCCTGTCCGGTCATAACGGGCAGCTCAAACACGTTCCCGTAAGCCCGCAGGTACTCGGTCAGATCCTCTCGGGTCGGAAACAGTGGCGTTCCCGCCGGAAAAGCCATACCGGGCAGAGAGCTCAGGTGCTTGCCGGTGTGCAGTCGCAGGCTGTAGTAGACGTGGTGCCACATCCAGCCCACGCAGTCTCCTCGTTCCAGGACGACATGGGAGATGTTGCGCACCCCAAGCTGCTGGGAAACTGCCAGCCCGCCGGGCCCTGCTCCAACGACGACCACATCAAAACTATCGAATGACAATTCGTTCAGACCGCCTCTCCCGATACCATTGTCACCGCGTACCCCAGCGTCACCGTCCCGTTCACCAAGCATAGGTAAATGCAAGCGGCAGTGGATGAACGCACTGCTGGGTGTGCGGACCGGCAGCCTGCGGGATCAGCAGTGCGCTCAGTCCAGCCTCCTGATGCGGGGCAGGGCCAACGCCGACACGACGCTGATGACGGCCAGCGCCGCGCCGTTGATCAGCAGGGCCCTCGGAGCACCCACCGCTCCGGCCAGCGCTCCGACCCCAACGTGGCCCACCGGGGCGAAGCCGATGCTGAGCACCCACGAACCCATCGCCCGCCCCCGTTCCTCGTCGGAAACGATCTCCTGCATCATTGTCTTGTATAGAGTATCGACCGCCATGGCGCAGGCGTTCACGAACAGCAACACTCCCAGGAAGGAGTAGATGTTGCCCGACAGCGAGAATGCCATCAGCCCCAACCCGAATCCCAGGGCCGTCGCGAACATCATCAGCCCCTTCCTCCTCAGGTTGCCCAGCCCCGCCAGCAGCCATAGGCCAATGAGCCCCCCAACCTGCCGTCCCGCCGTCATGATGCCCAGCCCCGTCGGCCCCACACCCAGCACTTCCTTGGCAAACACGGGCAGCAGGGTTATATGCGTAAACCCTAGGATCTCCGTGGCGGCCGTCAGCACCATGAGCGCCATCAGCAGCCGGTAGTTGCGCAGCAGCCTGAAGTAACCGGTCAGGTTCTGCAACACGGATTCAGCGGACGGTCGGGCCGACACCCCCGGATTGCCGATCGCCAGTGTCGCTGCCGCCGAGGCCAGGTAACAAAGCGCCGCTGCCCCGAACTGCCAGCCTGGCCCGGCAACCTCAATCACAGCGCCCGACGCCAGCGAACCCGCGATGCCCCCGCCCTGCATGGCCATCGCTCCGAGAGCAAGACCGTTCAACGCATAACCCGGGCCCACGATGTCGTAGGTGTAGGTCTGCCGGATCGTAAGCACGAATGCAAAGGTGCTCCCCAGGCCCAGGACCAGCGCAATAATCACCCACACGTTGCTCAGCCCGCCCAGCAACAGCAACGCCATCAGCAGCGCGACGGCAGACGACCCAAGGGTGCCGGTCCGCAGCAACCACCGCCGTTCCCACCGGTCGGCGATGGCCCCGGACAGCAGCCCCACCATGAAGAACGGCAGCATCCGGGCCGCCGCCCCCACGCCCACCATCAGTTCCGATCCGGTCAGCTCGAATATGAGCCACCCGACCGACACCTGCTCCATCCCGGTGGCCAGGGAATACAGCAGCGTCGATGCCCACAGCAGCCTGAAGTCACTGATGCGAAGAGAGTCAGCCCATTTCCACATACCCATCACAGAACCAGATAATACACCTGCGGCAGGGTGGCACCCCGCTGAGTGGCACCGCAGTTCAGGGATTTGCCGGGCAGCGTATCTTTGTGTGACCCCGATTGCGGAAAATGGCCAAGCGTCTTTCGAGGCTCGCTCACTGGGGTGGTATCATTGCCACAAAACTGGCACCGATGGAGGGAATAACATGCCATTTGGAAATAACGACTGGCTGGCCCTGACTCAGGAACCGGCCCTGGAACCCGAGATTCCCCTCTGCGACCCGCATCACCACTTCTGGGACAGGCGGATGATCAGCGTACCCTACCAGCGATACCTGATCCACGAGTTGATGGCCGACCTCGACTCCGGCCACAACGTGCGCTCCACCGTATTCCTCGAGGCCCGCTCCATGTACCGCGCCTCCGGGCCCGACGATCTGAAGTCCGTCGGCGAGGTGGAGTTCGTGCAGGGACTGGCCGCTGCCAGCGCCAGTGGCGTCTACGGCGAGGCCAGGGCCGCTGCAACCATCATCGGCGCCGCCGACCTTAAGCTGGGCGACGACGTGGCCCGGGTGCTCGAGGCCCTGCAGGCAGCCAGCCCCAACCGCTTCAAGGGCATCCGCCACAACGTCACTTGGAGTCCCGACCCGGAGATCGACAACCGGGAAGAGCCGGGCATACTCGCCAACGAGTCCTTCCGGGCCGGCGCCCGCGTCCTGGCCCGTATGGGCCTGTCGTTGGACATCATGCTGGCCTTCCCGCAAATGAACGAGGTCGCCGAATTTGCCCGCGCAGTGCCCGAGGTCTCCATCATCCTCAACCACCTCGGTGGCGTCAGCCGAACGGGCATCTACTCCGGCCAGGACGACAACCTCATCCCCGCCTGGCGGGAGGGCATCGCCGCCGTCGCCCAGAACCCCAACGTCACCTGCAAGCTCGGCGGCATGGGCATGCCCCGCTGGGGGTTCGACTGGCCATACCGGACCGTCCCCATCGGCTCCGAAGAACTGGCCGAAGGCATGGCCCCATGGATGAACTACGCCATCGAGCAGTTCGGGCCGGACCGCTGCATGTTCGAGAGCAACTTCCCGCCCGACAAGGTCTCCCTTCTCCTACAACGTGATGTACAACGCCTTCAAGCGCCTATCGGCAGGCTACAGCCCCAGTGAGCGGGCCGCTATGCTGCACGACACCGCGGTCCGGGTCTACCAAATCGAGACGTAACGGGGGCGCACGAACGCATGAAATATGACGTCATCATCGTCGGCGCAGGATCTGCCGGCTGCGTCCTCGCCAACCGGCTGACCGAGGATCCCGCACGCTCGGTGCTGCTCCTCGAAGCCGGGCCGGACTACCCCCTCGACCAGCTGCCCGACCAGCTCAAGTACGACATGCTCCAGGCCGCCTCCGAGGAGGGAGCGGCCTACAACTGGTCGCTCGTCGGCCAAGCGACGCCCCCGTCCCCGTCAAATCCGGCGCCGCGACCGGCCCACGTGGCCCGCGGCAGGGTCACCGGTGGAAGCAGCGCCATCAACCACCAGATCCTGCTGCGCGGCACCCCCGAGGATTTCGACGGCTGGGCCGCCGCCGGCAACGACGAGTGGAGCTACCAGAAGACCCTGCCCTACTTCCGTAAGCTGGAGTCCGACGCCGACATCCGCGACGACTTCCACGGCACCGACGGCCCCATCCCGGTGTGGCGCCACTCCCGCGCGAGTTGGCTGCCGCTGCAGGCTGCCTTCTACCAGGCCTGCCGCGAAGCCGGTTTCCCCAACGACCCCGACATGAACCACCCGGACGCCACCGGCGTCGGTGCCATGCCCCTGAACAACCCCGGCGGCGTGCGAATGAGCACCGCAATCACCTACCTCGACGACTGCCGCCATCGCATGAACCTCACCATCCGGCCCAACGTCCTCGCCAGCCGCATCCTGTTCGACGGCAAGCGGGCCACCGGCGTGGAAGTCGAGAGTGAAGGCGAGTCATTCATCGTCGAGGGTGAGGAGGTCATCCTCAGCGCCGGAGCCATCCACTCCCCGCACCTGCTGCTGCTGTCCGGCGTCGGCCCCGCCGATGAGTTGCTGCCCCACGGCATCGCCCCTGTACTCGACCTGCCCGGCGTGGGCCGCAGTATGAAGAACCACCCCTCCGTCTCCATCGTGTTCCGCTCCCACCCGGACCACCGCCTCACCCCCGACATGCCACGCAACCAAGTGGGCCTGCGCTTTACCGCCACTGGCTCCAGCCAGAAAAACGACATCCAGGTCCAGCCCACCACGTCCTACCCGCCAAGCCAGACGCCCCCCGGCATCCGTTTCGGCTGCCGGATCGAGTATCCATATAGCGAGGGTGTGCTGACCCTCACATCCGCGGACGTCTCCGACCAACCGCACCTGGATTTCAGATTCCTCACCGACCCCAGTGACCTCCCCCGCTACCGCGACGCAGTGCGCCGCACCATCGCGATATTCGACCATCCGGCCTTCAAGGGACTTCTGGCGGAACGCCTGTCCCCCACAGACGCCGATCTCGCCAGCGACGACACGCTGGATAGCTGGCTGCAGCGGAGCGCCGGCATCGCCGGCCACACCTCCGTCACCTGCAAGATGGGCCCCGCATCCGACCCGTCGGCAGTCGTCGACCAGTACTGCAACGTCCACGGCCTGGAGGGCCTCAGGGTCGTCGACGCCTCGGTAATGCCCGACATCGTTCGCGCCAACACCAACGCCACCATCATCATGATGGCCGAGCGCGCCGCCGACTTCATCCGCCATGGCCAGTAGCGACACCCCATCAGGGTAATCGCGTCTTAAACGCCGGAGGCCCGATAAGTCGTCATTCCCGCGCAGGCGGGAATCCAAACCCCCGTCTACCCTCTCACCCGGAACCGAAGGAGGCACTGCCACTCCCATCTCCACCGCCATTCAGACCAATTTTGTGTGCTGAGTAATAAGACGCGATTGCCCTGGACGCCCCATATCACCGCTTGACTGGTTTTGCATGGAGTACGTACAATTGTTCCATGTGTCTGCTAGTTGACCAGCCCCTGTTGTTGCCTTTCCCCGGGTGCGATTCTGGCCTCTCAGATGCCGCCCAACCACCCGGTGGGACACAATGGGACAGGATGGGACGGTTTTTGGAAATTTCAGCTTAAAGACACCCTGAGTGCGGCAATTTAGCTTTGAATCCTGCACTTCAGCAGTGGGAAATGGGACAAAATGGGAAATTCTGGGACACCGTGGGACAAATTCAGTCCCGTATGTCCCAACCTGATGCTCGGCGACCTTGCTGGTCTATAATCCTCCTGAAACCTTGATCCCAACAACACATTGAGGCAACTATGCGCTTCGGTTCCTTTGTTTTCCCCGTCAGCCACGAACCCGAGAGGGACTCTGCAGTCATCGACAGCACCCTCGACGAGATTCTCCTCGCCGAGCAGATCGGCATGCACTCAGTCTGGCTCACCGAGCACCACTTCGACGGCGCCGCCGCCCACGCCGACCCGCTGGTGCTGGGAGCCGCCGTCGCCGCCCTCACCCAGCGAGTCAAGATCGGCTTCGCCGTGGTCGAACTGGCCTTCCACCACCCGGTCCGGCTCGCCGTCCAGACCGCCCTGCTCGACAACCTCAGCCACGGCCGCCTCATCGTGGGCACCGGACGAGGCTCCGCCTACAATCACTACGAGTACATCGGCTTCGGCATCACCATGGAGGACGGCCTCGCCCGACTCGACGAAGCCGAGGATCTGATGGTCGCTGCCTGGACCGGAGAGGATCTGAAACACAAGGGCGAGCACTGGAACGTCGAGTTCCCACAGTTGCGTCCCCGCCCTTACCAGCAGCCCCACCCGCCCCTTGGTCCGCGCCTGCATCAGCGAGGCCTCCACCATCCGGATGGCCGAGATCGGCCGCCCGGTGATGATCGGCATCCAGGCCCTGCCCGCTCTGCAGTCCCGCCTCGAGCGTTACCAGGCCACCATGCTGGACTCAGGGTTCTCCGAAGAGCAGACCGAAGCCGCCTTCGACCAGTGCTGGGCCTCCCGTGACCTGTTCGTCGCCGAGAGCCCCGAGGAGGCCCGCGAGATCGCCGAGGTGGGATTCCGGAGGGAACGCGCACACTTCAATCACGCCCGCGAGCTCTACAATCCGGGTGGAATGCCTCCCCGTGATCCGAACGCCCCAGTACCGGCGGGCGAGAGTTTCGACCACTCCTTCATCGTCGGCACCCCGTCGCAGGTCGCCGAACAGGTCGCCGAAATGCGCGACATCGGCGTCCGCAACCTCATGCTCAAGCTCAACACCGGCGAGATGGACACCCAAAAGGTCCAGAAGTCCATGCGCCTCTTCGGCGAAAAGGTCATGCCCCTGTTCACCTGACCATCAAGTTCCCCACTGCCTCGAGGCAGAGAGCCGGGGTAGAGGTGAAGGTCTGGCTGAGTGTTCAGCGCTATCAATGAGACACATTGGGCGATGACTCAGGGGCGCACAGCCGTGCGCCCCTGAGTCATCGCCAAGCTGAATTGCCGGCGAAAAATTGAAATGCCGCTCCCTTACCCGGTGAACCGACTGGTGACCTCCTGGTGTCCGGCATTCTCCATGTACGGCTCCTCCCGGTACAGGGCCAGGTCCTTCATCACCGGAATGTCCTGGATCGAGAACAGCACGGCCTCCTTGCCGGAGTCGTTGGCGTGCTCGTGCCAGGCCCACGGCGGCACGACAAAGAAGTCGCCCTCGTTCCAGTCGAACCGCTGCCCGTCGATCACGCTGTACCCCTCGCCCTTGTACACTTGGTAGACCGCGCAGCTCGTCTGCCGGTGCGCCTGCGTCCGGATGCCGGGCCTGATCAGCTGCGCCCAGCAGGTCATCGACCTCAACACCGGACCGCCCGTGACCGGGTCGCTGAACTCCATGGCTACGTCGTCGAAGGGGCTCGCGTCAACCTCGGCCAAACGTTGCAGGGCCTCCCAGGTCTTGTCCCACCTGTAGTGCCACAGGGGAGAGTACGGCGCCTCGGGAGTCTCCCAAGCCGGACGCAAAGCGCCGGACGCAAACTTGCGCTCCGACTCGGCCACACCCCCGACGGGCTGCTGGTCCTCGGGGTACGCCTCGTAGAAGTTGGCTCGGAGGTAGCGGACCAGGGGAACGTCCAGACCGTCCAGCCAGATCATCGGCTCCGACCCCTCATTGTTGTGGTCGTGCCACGTCCACGACGGCGTGAGCACCAGGTCGCCCGGCTCCATATAGCACTTGTCGCCCTCCACGGTGGTGTAGGCCCCCTGGCCCTTCAGCACCCAGCGTATCGCCGTGGGCGTGTGACGGTGGGCGGGAGCGTTCTCCCCAGGCAACAGGAGTTGCAGCGCCGCAGTGATGGTGTGCGTAGTTCCCCGGTCTATCCCTGGCGTGGCCAGCCGCAGGGTGCGCCGCTCCACGTCCCGGTCCGGAGTGACCAGCTCGCCGCTCTTCATCACCAGCGGCTCCACCTGCGACCAGCGCCACAGGTACGGTTCGATGTCGGGCATTGGTTGACCCTCGCCCTGCATCCACCCCGGCTTGATGCGGATGCGGTCGGCATTTTCGTAGTACTCCTGGGCCTCGTCGACGCTTACGCCTTCTGGTACTGCCATCAGAGTGCCTCCTGTTTGGAGTTTCGTTCGTCTTTTGGGTGAATTGTAGCCGTTTCCTCGCACAAGGTGAATCATGGCTGGCTACAGCCAAAGGGCAATCACTGATTCCACTGGGGACGCCGCTTTATGCCCCCAGAGTTGTAGCTCTCCCGAATCACTGACGATTACTCTGTTGCCTTGGCCCACAACGGCCTGTATGATGGGTGTTATTGCAGGCGAACATTTGTACGGCACGACTAATGAGTTCAACTTTGGACTGCCATCCATAGGACTTCGGAAAGTACCGGAATATTCGAAAATCTCAGTGCTGGATAAGGGGAATTGATCTGAATTTGAGAATAGATCCGCAATGCCATTGGTCGGGGGTTCAAATTCATCGGTCTTGCGGAGACGGTAGCAGTCGTTGCCTGTCAAATCTGGGTCCCGAGCATCCACAGATGCTAGAATCTCGCATCAGGATTCATCGGAGAGGTAAATAATGGCCAGAGTACCCGTAGTCACCCGCGACATAGTCCCCGAGGAATTTCGGGACGCCTTCGACGACCTCACCCGTGAGACCGGCGGGACGATCGCCGGCGGGCCCATATCCATCATCATTAACGGCCCCGAATTGGCGCGGCGGCGCGCCGGGCTCACGTCGTACCTGCGATACGAGAGCACCTTTTCCAACCGCATCCGCGAACTGGCGATTCTGGCAACGGCCCGCAACTTCGACTGCCCCTACGTCTGGAACGCCCACGCTACCGACGCCCGCAAGGCGGGTGTCAGCGACGAACTGGTCGACGCAATTCGCGACCGTCAGCCGCTCCCCGATATGGCCGATGACGAGCGGGCTATCATCAACTACTGCAACGAGTTCTACGCCAACCACCGCATCTCGGCGTCGACTTTTCAGATAGCTAAGGAGCAGTTTGGCACTCAGCACCTCGTCGAGCTGACCGCTTTGATGAGCCACTACGCCCAGACTGCGTTCTTCCTGAACGCGTTCGAGGTGGACCTGCCCGACGATCGGACAGAGCCAGTCCTGCCCTTAACCTAGCGGCAGCCGTCGGGTCTGGAGTTAGGGATTAACGGCGGTATTCGTCTCCGCAGTCGCCGATAATCCGGTACAGATCGCGCGACTGCGACAGGACTGCCTCAATGGCCTGCAGGTCATCTGAGTCCGGGCTGAAACTGAACACACGGGCATTGTCGGCGATGTGCTCCGCCACCCCCAGGCGCGCACCTACGATCACGCCGGCCACCGCCGGGCGATCCAGTACGTAACGCACAGCAACGTTGGCGATGCTGACACCGTGCTTGTCGGCGACGGCACGAAGAGTAACCAGCAGTTGCTGAAACAGTTCCCACCCTCCCCAGGCATCGACCATCTGCTTGTACTTGCCCAGGCTGGCGGTATTCAGAGCGCCGGGCGTCGGTTCCACCTGCCCCAGATACCGGTCAGACAGGAGCCCGCCACATACGGTCCCGTAAGCCAGCAGCGAGCTTCCCTGCTCCTGGCAAAACGCGCTCATGGCCACCTCGGGGCGGCGGTCGATCAGCGAATACTGCACTTGGTTCGACACCACGCGGATGCCCTTGTCCGCTATTACCCGCATCCGCTCCGTGTCAAAGTTGGTCAGCGCCACTTCCCGGATCCACCCCTCCTCCCGGAGGTCGGCGAGGTGGGACAGGGCGTCCAGATAACGTGTATCGCCATAGTCCCACCAGTGGAACTGGAGCAAGTCAAGCCGCTCCATGCTCATACGGCGGCGGGAAATGTCCACGCTGCCTTCGACCACCTGGCGAGTCATAGGACCGGGCCTCGGTACCCACTTGGTAAACGCCTGCATGTCCGAAAGCGCATCGCCGCCCCGAGCCTCCGACAGCTGACTCCTAAGCTCGCCGATGAAATCCTCGGCAGGCCCGTAATGGTCAGCCAGGTCCCAGGTCGTGAATCCAGCATCGATGTAGTGAAACATGTTGCGGATGGCGGCACCGGGATCAATGCGGCCGTGTGCCCCAGAGACCTGCCACAAACCGTTGAGCACCCGGCAGATGGGCATATCGGGAGTCAAATCAAACCGGCTGGAATCAGGAAGCACCATAATTCACCTCTAAGGAATTATACCCGACCTACCGATCTCTACCCTCTAATAACGAACCCCGAAAGCAACGAAG